TATTTTACCCCTTCTGTGCACCAGGCACTGTGCTAGTGTTTGGTTCGGTCCTCCCAAACACCTGTGTGAAACTGTCATTCTCTTGATTTCACAGAAGGGGAAGCAGACTCTGAAAGGGCAAGTCACATGCCTCAGGTCACACAGCTAGAAAAAGGTGGACTGGATGGAAGCCTGGAACTATGAAACGGTGCTTCCTGGACAGAAACATAATCATGGCTGTAGCCAGAATCACTACTTCCTGTGCGTGCATTTTACATCCTGGTGGACAAGCAGGTGCCCTTCAGCCTCCCTGGTTGAATAGATAGGGATATACATGCGCACATATTCTTCAATGAATGTGAGGGGAGAGGGCAGACGGATGCATTGGATCATCCATCCTCCTTGAAGGTTTTGGACTTTGGCAAATGTGCCCTGAGGAATCCTGTAAACTCACATGCAGTGTTCACCTCATGGTCAATGGTGTTGAGCAGAAGGGCAAGGTTTGTTTGCTTCTTGCACACCTAATGTCAGACTTTGGGGGAAAACCAGAGACCTGAGCCCGAGCAGGCCGGCTGGCCCAACTCCAACAGCAAAAAGGGGCCCTGTTAGAAGTACCTCTTCCTTGACTGTCAGGGAGGTAGGACCCAACAAGCGATAGAAGAGGACAAGGGTCACAAACTCAGATGTCCATGGGAGCCTGGCAGGTGGCATATTTAAGATGAGGCCAGAAGGAAAAGCACATGCCTGTTGGGTGAGTGGTGGCAAGTGGGGTGACTTGAGAAAGGCAATGCTCCAGCCACAGGTGCCAGATGATCAGTGTTAGGCAGAGACTTTGCGTCCATGGGCCAGCTTCTCTGATTTTTTCAAGAGAAGCTAAAATCCAGATCTATATGGGAAATCTCCTAATATTTAATTCAAGTACAGTATTGTTATAAAACATTGTGTTGGTCAAAGACAACGGGGCTATGAACTGGATGTGTCCCCAGGGGACAGCAGTGAGAGCATCCGAGGTTCAGTGTTTCATTTAATCTTGGAGACCTTTGTCCTAGGCTCTCTGGAAAACAGGCAGCCAGTCTTCTCTCACGTGGGATTATCAGTCAGCACCTATCTGTGACTGCGTCGATGGGGCGATGGGAGAGAGCTTCGGTCCCCCCCTATTTCTATTAGCAATGAAATGTCATTGAAGTTAACGTGACATCGTAAGTGAAAACGGCTTGCTGTGCAAACTCAGCTTCAAAACAGGTCCCTTCTCCCCTTTGCTACACAACGCGGCTCCTATGTCAGCTCTATCACCTTCACAGTGGGGCTGGCATTGTCAGGGATCTGCTCTTACCTGTGGCTTTTGGTAGGATACAGACCTGGCTGTTTGTTAACAAGCCCTAACTAATGATGGTGTGAACACAATAGTCTCTCTCACTCACATAACAGTTGATGTGCAGACAGTCCTGGCTGGTAAAGTTCTGACTGTCAAGAGCCCCAGGTCCTTCTGGCTTGTTGCTCTGCTGTCCCCATGCTGACAACATGGTTGGTGGCGGCTCACCATTGCAATTTATATTGTAACTTGGGCAGGCATGCCTCTCCCTCTAAGGCAGTGAAGGCGAACCTATGACACGCGAACTCATTTTTTTGGGTTGATTTTTCTTTGTTAAATGGCATTCAAATATATAAATATAAAGAATATAAGTCTTTGTTTTACTATGGTTGCAAATATCAAAAAATTTCTATATGTGACATGGCACCAGAGTTAAGTTAGGGTTTTTCAAAATGCTGACATGCCGAGCTCAAAAGGTTCGCCATCACTGCTCTAAGGACACAACCAGGCAGTTACATACATCCCTTCTGCTCACATCCTATGGGTCATCACTTGTTTTCATAACCACAGCTAGCTGCAAGGGAGGCTGGGAAATGTAGTCTTTCTATGCGTCCACGTAAAACTCTTTGGAAAATTTCTGTGGAAGAAGGAGAGAACATATGGGAAGGGGACCAGTGGAGGTCTCACTCACACTCTCCATGAAAGCTGCATTCATGATACAAGTTCCCATGGGAGGAAGCCCCCTTGAGCACTAGGCCCCGGTATGATGTCCCCCAGGGCACAGGCAGCTGTCTGATCAGGGAGGAGTCCTGGGCAGTGAGCAGCAGCCATGGCTGGAAGTTGGAGGTTGGGATGGAAAAGAAGCCTCAGGAAGTGTCCAGCAGCCAGGCCACCAGCTGCTGCGTTTCTGGTTTACAAAACAGGTGTGTGGAGCCCCTGCTCCTTGGACACAAGCCAAGTGTTTGTAAAAGTCCCCTGGAAGATTCACTGGAAATGTTCGCCTGCAGACTTCCTGTGCTGACTGACAGCAGAAGTATGGTGTGGCGAGCCAGCACGGCCATGACATACTCAGCCCCAGGGCGCCTTATGTGCCGAGCCAGCTCAGCCAGGTTCGGTGAGCCTGAGCGGGGGCGGTGAAGGATGGAGAAAAGACAGACAAGAGAATAAAAA